CGCTGCTCCTCGGCCGGAGGCGACGGTGCCACGATGTGCGCCTGAAGTTCTTCGAGGTTTTCCCGCCACTCCATCGCCTCCGCCCTCAGGCGGGCGCGCTCCGTCCGAAACGCGGGCAGCATCGGACGTTGACCTTGCACCGTACCCGCCGCTGCAGGCTCCGTCTTCATTCCCCCATACCCACGGTGGCGGTCCAGCGCCATCGACCGCCCCGACTCTTGCCGCCCAGCCAGCCGAGGATCCTCTGGGGGATTCCGCGTCCTTCCCGTTGGTAGGGGAGACGCTCCCAGCACCCCTGCTTGCGAAATCGACGGCGCCACCCCCGTCGTCGTTGACACTGCACTCGACCGCACCACGGGTGGTGCAGTCGAAATGGACGAAGGGCGGACGACAGCTTGCCGTCGCAGACGGTTCATCTACGCGATGGTCGTCAGAAGCCGCGGTCCACTCCAACTTACCTCGCGTTCACGCCGCGTTCCTGCGCGAATAGCGATCCGCGCGACAAGCTCGGCGGATAGTTGCCCGTAAATCGATCGACGGGTCAAATCAAAATTAGCCAAAGACCCGGCCAAGGCCCCCACAGTCGTCGGCCAACTCACACGCCGATTCTTCTGCCGACCCGCGTTTGGTCGCAGCAACGAGTACACGAACACGGAAATGTACTCCAACAACGTCTCGCCTTCACACAGGTCGATGTGCCCACGTCGAGCACCCAACCTGGATCGCCTTCGCGCATGCGGTCTTTGTAGCGCGTGAACCCTCGCCCATCAGCGGTCACCATCGTCATCGTGGCCACGGCGTTCAACATCCACACGACGTGGCGCTCGAAGTCGTTATGAGTTCGTCCAAATTTGGCCAAGCACGCGTTGGCTTCAAACATCCGCGCTGGCATACCGGCTTCGTCGGCTTCGTCGACGATATTGACGTAGCTCGTGATATCGCATACGTATTCGAACGTTGCTTCGCCAAGTCCGGCCATCCCGAACGCTTCGTCCGAAGCGTCCACGAATTGGACCTCCTCCATCCGAACTCGAGCGAAGTCGAGATCCACCAACGTCCAAAAGTGTTCCCGCGGCACCATCGTCGCGGGCACTTCCAACTTTCACATCGTCGCA